ATCAGGTGTGAATAAAATATTTGTTTTATAATAAAATATCTTAAAGTCTACAAATCTAATCTATATGACCATCCTTTTATTTCTTTTAACATCGGTTTCAAAAACCAGATTTAGAGGGCTAAACCTGGTGGTCCATGTAAATGTCAATAAATTTTCATTAGTAATCTCAAGTAACAAAATACAAAATATAACCTCACCAGGATCGGTACTAGTTTGAAGCACCAGACTAAGGGTACAGCAAAGACATCGAGGAAAATACAGAAGAATCTTAGTAATCAGAAGAGGCAAAATTGATGGTTCAATCTTATAAGAGAAAATAGACATGCAACACATGTTCTTTTTATTTTCTTTAAGGTCATTTTGAAAATTGAATAAGCATGCAAGTTTAACACTTTTAGAGTTATGGCTATTTTTTTTTCTTAGACCGGTCTATAAAGTTTGAAGTAAGACAGTGGTAAAATAAAGTTAGCTAAAATTATTAGTTAATGATTACGATTATAGTTATGAATTTTGATAAATGATTAAACATCAATTAACCGTTAAATATATTTCTTTAAAATAATATAATTAGAAATAAAATCAAAATGGTTTTTCCTTAATTTTTTTGGTTATCATATTTATCTTATATAGCAGAACATTAAATCAAATATAGATAAAAAATTTCTGGTTTTAAACTACAAAATATAAATATGCATGTAAGATTTTAAACTGTAAAAAATTAAACGAATATACCTCATAATAAATATTTCTATCCAAATAAAATGCATCTACAAATAAATAAGATTTCTACAAATATATATATTTTTATCATCGTAAATTTTATGAAATTTTGAAACTTTCATGTTGTGTTGTGTTTGAAAAAAATAGGTTAACCTGTAACCGAACTGTTAATAACAATTAACTGTTTCTTAATAGTTAGGTTATAGTTAACAAAATTTAATAATCGCTATAATAGTTAACCGATTGTTTAGACTAAATAATACGATTAACTGACCATGAACACACGTAACTATTATAAAATAAATATTATTTGTTATCATGTCCTAATCCTATATGCCTAAAATAACCCCTCAAACCATTAAACACCTTAAAAGCCTCTAACAAACAAACTCCTCCTCAAACAAGGATTAATCCTTTATCTCCTAAAACCAAATCCTTAACATGCTTATCCTAAATCCCAAAGAATTCATCTTCTAACGTCAGATTCATTCCCTAAAAACCCAAGCTAATAAAATGATGTACATAAATTTTGAAGAGGAGCAATAAGTTTGATGAAAGAAACCAACACTGAAAAACCTGCAAAAGGAAGAGAAAGGATTAAAAAAATCGAGAAAAAAGAAGAAAGAACTCGAAGCAGTCAACCTCAGATCTACGAGGCTATGAGTATCTTTCGTCAAAAACACCGGAATCGAACTTTGGGCTTTGAAGGGGAGTTGACTGGTGCATTTTGGTGACTTTTGGTCGCCATCAATGACAATAGTGATGTCTTATCGTCGATCACCGTTAATTATCATCATCTGTCACATCTATCATCGACTACTATTGGATCCCAAATATTTTAGTTTATTTGTTTATCTTATTTAACATGACTCAAATATTTGTTTAATCAAAAAAAATTCTGAATTCTATAAATCTAGTCTAAAACTCTTCAATTTTTTTCTAAATAAATCATAATAATAAATTCATCATTATGATCCTTTTAAAATAAAGACATAAAAAATATAAATCTATATCATTATGATATAAATTTAGATTTTCAATATCCCTATTTTTAAAGGAACATAATGATATATTTATTTGTAACACCCCCAACCCGTACCCGACCCGAATACGAGTCCGATGTGTCACATTGACTTTTCAAAACTATTACTTTTTCCAAAAGAATGAAATTTGCTAACTTTTATTAATTCTAAATGCGTAATTTATACAATTTAAATCAAAAGGTTTACAAATCTTATAGAGCTTATACAATTCAAATCTTTTAACTACATGCCAAACTAGATTTTATATAATAAAATACATATTATTCATTTCTCTTCTGATCTGACCTTCGGTAAGGAGAACCTGACCTGTCTTGCTCCTCCTCGATCCATAAGCTCGTTGAAACCTACGTGTGAAACACTCACACGCTAAGTCGTTGACTTAGTGAGACATGTAAATACATAATGTAAACTATAACTAATTAACAAATTCATGTATATATCATGTAACACAATGCTTGTATACATATATAAATCATCATTAACCTACTTACCATTGCTTATATTATTATCTCCAATTCCTTGTTATCATATGAGCATATATACTTAACATTTCTATACACTTCATCGAACACATATGTCATTCCACAAAAGAGCACACATAATATCATACTAATTGATTTATTTATCCTCTTTAAGCCCATGTACACTTCTGAGAACTTAAGGTATGTGAGTACATAGAGGTTGTGCACTAATGTTGTCACCATAGCTCGTATAATTCCAACTAAGGGCGCGTAGAATTTGTCCCGAAGGACCACTATGTCCCAAAGGACCACATATCACATATGTCCCAAAGGACCACGTAGAACCCTCGACTCTTGGCATGCCAACTATACCCCTAGCTCTCATAACACATAACATGGGCATTATTAATTATATTTATCACACATTCTCCTATTCATATCACATAAGCATATAACTCATGGCTTCTTATCACATATCATGTAATACTCTCATGGAGTTTCATATCTTTTATCACGTATCTCATATCACATGTTATTGCTTTCATATGGTCACATAGCTCATGTCACTTAATTTTCTTATATTCACATATCACATGTTCATATATATATATATATATATATATATCATATAACATTATCACAGAGTCACATTTTCTGACATTCATATAGACATGCAATCACATAGATCACATATGGATATGCACTTAACATCTACACATATACATTTAATCATATACATCTAGTATCATATCCATATATGCTTGTGTTCCAGTATCCATATAATCTAATATTGGAATTAAACTCATCGCAAGTCTTAATTCCCTTACATAACTTAATCCTAATAGCATGCACTCATCTTGGTTACTTGCCAATACAAATCTCTTGTTCCCTTTTCGAAATTCTTACTCCGATGGCCTATCCGAACTTTGCCTTCGAAGTCTTAATTCCCTTACATAACTTAATCCTAATAGCATGCACTCATCTTGGTTACTTGCCAATACAAATCTCTTGTTCCCTTTTCGAAATTCTTACTCCGATGGCCTATCCGAACTTTGCCTTCGATCGATATCTACATGAATATATTCCAATGAGTATCGGGATTTGGATTTCTCGATAATATTCAAACCAAAGCAAACTAAATAAACACTAATTCCACTTTCATGTTTTGAAGTATTGGTACTGCCCTAACAGTACCGATGTTACCCTTCAAGGGTATCGATACCTCTCCATGATACCGATATCAATCTGGCATTCGATGTTTCAAGGGTATCGATACCATCCTTAAGGTACTGATACTACCCTTACAGTATCGATACCCTAACTCTTAATTTAGATCATTGACAAGTCAAAAATCTCATCAAAACTCTAAAAACCAAACCATAACAAAAATTCATCTTAAAACCCAATTTATAAATCTTTTCCTAATTCACTCATCTTATTGTTTAAACCCTATATAAGCATTCCTTAAGCTTATATAACACCCAAAGAATCAAAACCCACTTAGAAATCCAAGAATTAAACAACAAAATTAAACTCACCCTTTTGAAGCTGGAGTTAACGTGAAGAAGAAAGCAAGAAGAAAAGAGTCCAGATAATTCTCCCAAATACCCATGTGTTTGACTCTTATTAAGGGGAAAATATCCTTTAAAAGAAAAAGACCATAATGCCCTTTCCATATTTTCATAATTACAATTAAACCCAATACTGAAATATTCATATTTAAAATTTTTGTGGTCTAACGGTCTTCATTGAAGACGATCAATGAAGTTAATTGACTTTGACCAACGAGAGTGATAAGAGGCAGTCAGTGACAAAAACTTTGATTGGATTAAAGGGTAAATTAATATTTTATCTAAAGTTTAAGGTTAAATTAATATTCTATCTAAAATTCAGGGTCAAATTCAAATTTAATCATTTTTATTAACATGTTACGTCAGTCAATTGTTGATGTTAATGATCCAATAACCGAAATAAGACAAATTAAAAACATATATGATGAAAATGATTTCTTTTTCAGAACTAGTGACCAAAATAAGATAGATTAGAAACAAAAAGAGATCACTAGTGTTGTTTACCCCTTTATTATCCACCAAACCTTATTTTAAATATTGGCATAATGTTAAAATTAGTCCCTAAATATTTACTAAAATGATCATTTTGATCTCTATTTTGTTTTTAGAGCATTTTGGCCCCACAGTGTTTCTTTTTGAAGAAAAAAAAACCCCTCTATATATGAAAATCGTTAGTTAACAAACAATTAAAACTCCAAAATAAGAGCCATTTTATATTAAAATGAAACTTTATGTCAAGATTCTCTAGAAATAAAGAATAATAATCAAAGTAACTATCCGAACGAAAGTTAAAGGTTTTTTTTACTAAAATGAAACGTGTGGGCGAAAATACACAAGCAAAAGAATAAGAACCAAAGCTATTTTAATAAATATTAGGGATTAATTTTTACATTATACCTTAAATATTTTCTTACTCTTTTGGGCCTTTGACTCTTCATTAGAACTAGAAGCTTCTAATTTTAAAAGGTCAAACGATTGTGTCAGTCCGTTTCTTATATATATAAAAAAAAAAGGCGAAACGCGTCAATGTTTAAAGCCACAGCCGACTTCTTCATGCATTAGATACAAAAGGAGGATGTAGCTTTTGCCAAGGTCAACCATAGCATTAATTGAAGGTCCATGAATCAACTTATGGACTCAAAGCAAAGCTTGGAGTCGACTTATGTTAGATCCCACAGAAACCTAAAGCCAAAGAAGATAAAGCAATGAATAAGGTCAAACCCCATTTAATAAAAGCAGTTAAACTTAAACCAACTCTTGCTTGCAAGTTGATCTTAAAGAATGTATTTAGAAAAGGGGAGAAAAAACAAGTAGAAAAGGAAACCAAGGGGGCGAGTTTGTTCCACAAGTGCAATGGGAGAAAAGGTTTCATGGAAATGTGCTGTGATAATAATGGCAGTGATGCTGGCATTGAGCTGCTGTGAAGAACCGAGTGAAGGGGAATCGTACGAGGAGTTGCAGTGGAAGAAAAACAAAGCATGCGACGAGATATACGTGGTTGGAGAAGGAGAGACTTTGCAGACAATCAGTGAAAAATGTGGGGATCCTTTTATTGTTGAACACAATCCTCACATACATGACCCTGATGATGTTTTCCCTGGCCTCCTCATCAAGGTCACTCCTTTCAATTACATCTAGAACCATTACTACATTCCATCCTGCTTTCCTCTACTCACATGTTTTGTATTCAAAACACTTTTACAACTATATGTATTCCTTTCATTCTGTGCTATTGAGAAGGCAGGCTAATCTGGATAAAAGGAAAAAGAGGGAAGGCAAAAAGTGAAAGTGTAGAAGTTCAAATTATCATACATATGTGTGTGTGGTATAACAATATGTATAATATATGGGATTGTATATACATATGTATGTGGTATAATTATTTGATATATCCGGATGGACTGAGGGATACTTAATTTTTCCTATAAAAATTTTAAATTATCATATATATTTTTAATACTTTATTTGTATTTTCTATTAATAATCTATTTTAAATTTTATAAGCATACTCCCCCTAAAATTTTAAAATTCGCCATGCATTCGTCCCTAGATATATGGGTGGTTTCACCATTTAAAAAGGTAAACTACTTAGATGATCATCCGATTATTAATATATTTTTAGTTTGGTCATTCCAGTTTAAAATATAATAGATTATTTACTTGAATTATGAAAAGTTACAAAATAATTATCAATTTGTTAATTATTAGACAAAAAGTTGACATAGTAGTTAATAAACTAGACATAATAATAATTTTAATCTTAAACAATTACAAATTATTTTAATTTAATCATTATTCTAAAAAACTTAACCCTCGATATTTAATAAGTGTCAATTTAATCCTAAACATAAAAAAATATATAGAAACTTACACGAATAAAATAGATAATTATTCAAATAAAATTTAATTTTATGCCTATGTGGATCCATTACTGTGGGTGATTTGATTATTACTAAAAATAGAGCAAAAAGGAAACCCGAAGACAAAAAAGAAAACAGAAAGCAAAAAGGATTGAGAACTCAACTTAAATGACGGGAGAAGATCTCATAGAGCTGCAAGCTACTTTCTAACTTTTTTTTATTTACTTTTCATCTTTTGTCTTCAACTATGCTAAAAATGGAAGAAAACATGTGAGTTAACCTCTCTATTATTATTATTATTATTATTATTATTATTATTATTATATTATTATTATTATTTATTATTATTATTAGTCTTAAGTATACAAAAGGTATCTAATGTATGCTTATTTTTTCAGTTTAGTGTCTAACGTTTTTTTTGTTCCAGTTTGGTGCCTAATGTTTCATTCCGTTACTCAAAATGGTTCACGCCATGACAGACCGTTAATTTTCTCCTTTAAGTGACACACATCATAATATTTTATTATGAGAAAATAACCTCAGTGACCAAAAATGCCTTATAATATACGATTTTAACCAACTTTTTTTGGATTTGCCAAAATGACCAACTAAATCGTAATGCGATCGATAATTAGCAACGCGATCTCCGGTATCGCAAATCAGTTTCCAGATTCGCAACGCGATTCTGACTATCGCATTGCGATTTTCCGACTATCGCAATGCGAATATGTAAATCACAATGCGAATATGTAAATCGCAATGCGAATATGTAAATCGCAATGCGAATATGTAAATCGCAATGCGATTATGACTACGATTCTGACTGTCACAACACTGAATTTCAAATTCGCAACAGGTTTAGTTTCGCAACACAAATATTTTGTGTATATAACTACGCAGCAGAAGCAACTCATAACCTAAATCCCTAAATCGCAACTCATTCCATCTCCATCTATCACTCTCTCCGGCGACATCCGTTCTTCTATCCAACGACATCCTTCCCCATCCGGCAACAGGTTTTAGTTTCGCAGCTCGTTTGTTTAGTAAATTAATTTACAATAATGAAATCATCTAATGTTGATCATGTTTGGATAGATTTGTGTTTTGGAGGGTCATGGGAGAATGTTCATGGTGTTTTACAATATATGCCTTTACCCATGAATCTTCAACTAAAACTGTCATTAAAAAAGTTAACTTATGAAACTCTAATGTTACGTGTTGCAAATAAATTGAATTTAGGACCCTTAAGTGGATTTAGGCTATCTTATCAGAGAAAAGGTAAAGTTTATTTGTTAACCGACAATGAAGATGTTGAACGATTCATTGCTTACATTAGTGTTTCGCAAGATGATGTTACATTGTATGTTGTTGAACCTAGAAGTAGTGAAGTTGGGTCAGTAGGGTAGTAACAACTAAGTTTTTCAACCCCAGTTATGGTGCTCAAAATTTAATGGTTTCACCACAATTTCATCACCAAGCAAATTTTGTTTCACCACATTTCCAATACCAAACATAATCTCAAAACCCACAACCTTTCCCTAATCCAAATCCCAATCAACTTTCAGCACCAAATTCCGGTTTTCGTATTAACCAATTAGACGATGATGAGCCAACAGAAAAAATTGTGAGTACTAGTCGGTATTCGAAATTTGATCTTGGTCAATACCTGGACTTTGATCTTGGTCAATACTCGGATTTTGATGATGTTTCAGAAGAAGAAACAGACCCTGCATGTAATGATTTTGATATTGATCAATACCCGAATTTTGATGATGAAACAGCCGCTGCCGAGGAAGATGTTGTTGATGATAATGAGAAGGAAGTTACGACTGTGAATAAACATGTTGAACATCCATTCTGTAATTCATATAACCCTGAAGAAGAAAAATAAGAAGAAGAAGAAATCCCCTAAGAAAAGTCCCCGAAGAAAATGCCACGGGAGTATAACTGGAATATGCTAGAATTACTTCAGATACTGGAAGAAGAGTTGGTAAAAATAGCAGTTGATTGTTACACAAAAATTATTCGTATCAAGAAAGATGATTGTTTTGATACAAAGGAAGACTTGAATATAGCTTTGTATACGAAATGTGTGGAAGATGGCTATCAACTAAAAGTTAACAAATCAAGCAAAGATCGTTTCGAAACAAGGTGTATGATTGACAAAAACTGTACGTGGCGTATGATTGTAAAGAGGATAAAAGATTGCGAAATGTTTCAAGTTAGGACTTTTATTGATAAACATACATATTCAAAAACCCAAGTTTTTCCTCACTATAGACAGGCAAACAAAAAGGTGTTGGGTGGTTTTCTGGCTGAGTTAATATTTTTGAATGGCAGGGTATATCAGGGACATGAAATTATGACTGACATGAATGCTCGGTTCAAGATTAGTATATCATATTCTCAAGCTTGGAGAGCCAAATGTTATGCCTTGGAATTATTGAGGGGGTCGCCAGAAGCATCGTTTGCCCAACTGTCGGCTTATTGTCACAATTTAAAGCTGAAAAATCCTGGGTCGGTAACTCATATCAAAACAGATAGAGATGGACGCTTTGAGTTGCTGTTTATCGCCATTGGTGCTGCGGTTAGTAAATCAATATAATTTTGTTGACTCATTTCTGTTAGTTACATGCATTTCACATTTAAATGATTATATTTCTTGTGTATATGATTTTGTAGATTCGTTCGTTTATTACTTGCATGCGCCCAGTTATTATAGTTGACGGAGCACATTTAAAAGGTCGATACCTTGGAGTAAACTTATTAGCAGTAGCCATGGATGCTAACAATGGGATACTACCAATAGCTTACGGGGTTGGCAAATCTGAAACCTCTGATTCATGGACATGGTTTATGGGGCATCTTAGGGATTGCATAGGTCCTATTAGCAATCTGACAATCATATCCGTAGGGCAAACTCAATTGACAACGCTGTTAGAAGGTGTTTCCCAGATGCTTTTCATGGACTTTGTGGTGTTCATTTATATAGAAATCTAAAATCAAGGTCTGTTGGTATAAAAAATCACAAATGGACATACTGAAAGGCTGTAAAAGCTTATCGGGAAGTGGATTTTAATAAGCATATAAATTGTTTAAGACGTGTTTTGCCTCAGTGTGCTCAAACACTAGAAGATGTCGGGTTTGAAAGATGGTCAAGAGTACATCAACTTGGAGCAAGATATGGTTTCATGACGTCTAATAGTGCAGAATCAATCAACGCTATAAGTCGTCATTCCCAGAAATTACCCATTACTATGTTAATGGAGTTTTTCCGAGCCTCTATTCAACAGTGGTACTACAAGAAAAGAAACTATGCAGGTATTATTTTTTTAAATTTGTAACTTATCATATATTTTACTAAGTATTATTTATTTAAATTTATAGGAACATTAGAACATCGTGTTACACCATGGACTAAAAAAAAGATAACGAAACGTGTTGTGAAGTCAACGTCATGGAGAGTTGAACCATGTTCAAACACTTTGTTTGAAGTACTGGATAATAACTTAAATGGGCTTGTCGATCTAAATGCAAAGACGTGTAGTTGTATGAAATGGCAAACATCTGGTTATCTTTGTGGGCATGTTATAAAAGTTGCTCTTCATCTAAACCAAGATGATTCAAGTGCATACGCTATGGATTGCTACACTACAGAAGTATATCGACAGACTTATGCCGAGATTATCTACCCTATTCCACATCCTTCTGAGTGGGACATACCAGATGACTTACAAACAGTTTTGCCACCAGCCATGGACAGAAGGCTACCTGGCCGACCAAAAAGTCACGATCGTATACCGTCTAAGGGTGAAGAGAAGAAGAGATCGACATGTAGTCGGTGCAAGGAAAGTGGTAATACAAGGTTGACATGTGGATCACCAGTGCCATCACAATCATCTTTTCCTCTACCAAAATATGGATCCTCATCAAAATCCAAAGCTCATATGGTGTCAAGAAAAAGGTAATCAAAATCGCAATCAAAATCAAAATCCTAATCACAACCGACTTCACCTTTTGGGACTATTAACTTAGGTGATTTTTAAATGCAAACGTTGTATTATGTGTAAACTTTTAACATTTTCAGTTAGGCATGTATTAGTAACTCGAGTTTGAATATTGCTATGATATGTTCAGTTGTTATCACTTATTACACATTCATTTGAATATCGCAATGCGAATTTGACTATTATGTGTATTTTATGTGAAAACTTTTAACATTTTCAGTTAGGCATGTATTAGTAACTTGAGTTTGAACATTGCTATGATATGTTCAGT